AAACCTCAACAGCACATTTATCATCACCCTGGAGCCAAAGTCTGAGAGTCGTGCAAGCTCGACCGGCGGGGGCGTTGGAACCTGCGGCCGTGCATACTCGCGGTCGGTTGCGGCCAGAACAGTTTGAAGCTTAAGGAAGGGGTTAGGAGGTTTTCCATGCTGAAGGTCTTGGACTTGGGGCACCAGGGTTTTGGTCTGGGGTTTGAAAGGGTTCTTTCAAGACTTCGGCCAGATGGGATGTAGAATAAAGGCCTTGTTTCCGGAGTTCGTTCATGAGCTATTGTGATGTCTAATATACGGACTACTTTGCGGGCCAAGTTGACCAAATTATAGGCCCCAAAACCCTACTGCCTAACACCCTCCAAACCTCAACAGCACATTTATCATCACCCTGGAGCCAAAGTCTGAGAGTCGTGCAAGCTCGAAAAGGTGGGGGCGTTGGAACCTGCGGCCGTGCATACTCGCGGTCGGTTACGGCCAGAACAGTTTAGGGCTTAGGGAAGGGGTTAAGAGGTTTTCCATGCTGAAGGTATTGGACTTGGGGCGCCAGGGTTTTGGTGATGTACGGACTACTCTGCGGGCCAAGTTGACCGAATTATAGGCCCCAAAACCCTACTGCCTGACACCCTCCAAACCTCAACAGCAAATGCAAGCTCGAAAAGGTAGGGGCGTTGGAACCTGCGGCCGTGCATACTCGCGGTCGTGTACGGCCAGAACAGTTTCGGGCTTAGGGAAGGGGTCAATTAAGAGGTTTTCCATGCTGAAGGTATTGGACTTGGGGCGCTAGGGTTTTGGTTTCGGGTTTGACAGGGTTCTTTCAAGAGTTCGGCCAGATGGGACGTAGAGTAAAGTCCTTGCATCCGGAGTTTGTTCAAGAGCTATTGTGATGTCTAATGTACGGACTACTCTGCGGGCCAAGTTGACCCTCTGATCCACTCAGTCAGACAAACTGCGGTGGGATGTGATTTTGGAGCCAGGGTTTGGCCATATTCCCCAAGCCGTCGCGTTGATGGACGCTACCCCGCCGTGAGATTCTGAGACTCTCCTGACTTCTTAATTAAAAAGTACCTGCAGCAGGCCCCGTCAAACCCTAGACCCGGCGCGTCACTTTTGAGCTTCATCCCAGCTCGCATCAAAGGCCGCGCTGAACGCACGCAAAACGGCTACAGAAGCCTAGAAGAGATGATGTCCCCAACACACTCTTCATCTCCATGCCCACCTCCAACTTCTCAGGAACCAGAGCAAGCACTCGCATGGGCTGCCGGCGCTTGACTGGAAGATCTGGCCCGGCCAGCCTTTCGAACGTCTCGCTGAAAGCGTCCCAGGATGGAAGCAGAGACCACTTCGAAGTCGATTTGCGCGCCGCGGCTCGCACAACACTGGCCAGGTGTCTGTGCGCAATTTCGAATTCTGGGGAAATCAGGACATGCCGTTGAATCAGGGTAGCTTGGTCATAACGGAATGCCACACCACCCTGACGATTGGTCTCAACGAAAACAACATCTACGATAGTGCCGCCTTGCAGGGACGCTGTCCAGAGGACGTCCTCGGGAGGGGAAGCCGCATCAAGGACCACCCAAACAGTAGCCTCGCTGACATTGGCCACCACATTGTGAAGAAGACCCAAAGGCAGCAGCTCTTGCCATTCTGCATCCTCAAACCAAACGTCGGAGAACCTCCAGTCCAGCCCCGTTGGATGCATGAGTGCTGCCTGCCTGTTCTCCAGGCGAACTTTCTTGGCCCGATTTTCTTCTCGAATCTGGGCCATAGCAAGGGCAACCTCACCGAGGTCCTCAGGCACCTCGCTGGCCAACAGTGTGTTCTCCAAGTAGGCGTTGCATTTGTTGGCATACTGTTTCGCATGTTGGAAATCCAGTTCCGCTTGGAGACTGGCATCGCACTGGATGATGGCATCCGCCGCCGCAGCTGCAGCATCCACTACCGCTTCCACTCTGCGCAGCTTGCTCCCTGCCTTGACGGCCTTGTTCCGGTTGGACAAGAAAGCAACCTCGGTGTCCTGGCGACTCATGAACGATCAGTGCACGGCGATTGCTTGAACAGCCCTGATTCGTAAGTAAACAACCGGAGCCCTGCGGTGCAACGTGTTGCTTCCTCAGGAGCGTTTAGAAAATGGTTTCAGGCCCTACGACGACATCCAAAGAGAAGCTGCATGTGTCTGTTCACTTGTAATTATTCAAAAGGAACTTGCCCACAATCATCGTCTTGCAGACGTCGCTCCAGACCCTTACCCGGCACCCCGCGGTCCTCGACCATGCTGCGCTTCACACCCTTGTCCATTCGCTCAGTCTGGCTAGTGTCACGGGGCCTGCCATTGCCCAGCAACGTCCACGCAACCTGAGCAACCTCCGCGACGTGGGCCGCCTCGGCTTTGTTCCAATCGGCAAAAATCTTCACCTCTGACAGCAAGAGATCAGGATTCATGTGCTTCCTGGCTGGGCTGGTTTGCTTGGACACCTGGGAAAACAATTGCTCCACGCCGGCAGTGGATGCTCCTTGGAAAGCTCCATACTTGCACAGCGCATGCAGCAAGTTTGCACAAGGATACTTCTCTCGAATTGACTTTCTCTTTTGCGTCTTTCGGAGTGCACCACTCCAGGCCGAGAAATAGTCAACCTGCTGCGAGACGGCCAGGTGCTGCGCCAGTGGTCGGTGATCCTCCATTTCAGCAACGAAGTCTTCCAGGCTCAGGTCGAAAACCTGCGCCAGTCGCTGTGCAGAGTTCGCCAAGAACTCGGTCCTTTCCTGCTGCACGTCTTCGTCTTCCTGCACGCGGCTTGCTGCAGGCTTCAGCTCGAACACTGCGAAGGCACTCAACACGTCCCAGCCCGGAAATTCAGAGGCAAGGACCTCCCCGAGCAACCGGATCCACACCTGCAAGTGCTTCCTGCACTCGGCCTTCAGCAGTGGGCTGACGCGACCAGGGCCTCCAAGACTGAACGCCCGGCTGTTCACCACGTAGCCGTGCGAAGTCTCCAGAAAGCTCACCATGTGCGAGGTGTACCCGGGAATTTTGTAGACGCCATCCTGCACAATCTATGGGTTCGATTTCTTTACTCGACAGAACCGTATAGCCATTAACATTCCCCTGCTGCTGCTACGGCCGTTCCTCGTTGAAGAGGAAGTGGAGCCGCGACATGAACACCTGAATTTCCGTTGCCACCACCGACAGGTCGTATGACTCCGTGTCAAAGACACGCAGCAAACGCACGCTCTCGTCGCTGGCGTCAGCAAGCAATGCTGCTAGCAAATACTCCCTTTCTTGCATGTTCTGTAGAAAGTCGGCAGCCTCTCGCCCCTCGACCTTTTGGCTGCGGTGAACAGTGAGCCAGATAGCCGTCTTTACAAGACTGTCGACGTGGAGCACGGCTCTCCCCAAAGGTTTGGACAAGCTGCTGAAGCGGTGTTTTGCGTGCCCCAAGTTACGAACCCGAGTGGCGTTGAGCGGGCATTTGGATGATTCTTTGCAGAAGGCCTGAAACACTTGGCTAATGTGCGGCGAGTACTGGACCTTGTGAGCAATAGACTCGGAGCCAATGGCGAATTTGTCGAGGATGTCACGCAGAGTGCCGCTGGCGTGCCACGGCCTGCTTAGCAACCTGGCAGGGCCGCGCAGCAACATCATAGAATCAGAGACCGATTTGACACGTGCCTTCCCAAACGTGCTATCAGCACCGCCATCACTATGGCTGCTGGGACTACCACAACATGTACTACTACTCATAATTACTAATATTCGTAGTAGTAGTAGTAGTAGTAGTAGCAGCAGAAGTAGTAGCAGTAGTAGTAGTAGTAGTACTAGTAGAAGTAGTAGTGGTAGTGGTATTAGTAATAGTACTAGTACTACTACTACTACT